AATTCCTTTATCTAGGAGGATCTGGGTTCGATCCCTGGGTCAGGAAGATCCCCTGGAGAAGGAAATGGCAACCCACTCCAGTATTCTTGCCTGGAGAATCCCATGGACGGAGGAGTCTGATGGACTATAGTCCACAGGGTCAGAAAAAGTCAGACACGACTGGAGCGACTTCACTTTCATTTTCCAGGAGAATCAGTTGATCTGCAGTTGATGTAATAGTATTAATACTTTGTTCTACCAGTTTCTTGCACTGGTTCTTCACTTGCGTAAATTATGTAATAGAAGATGAATATTCTAGAGGATCATTTCTCCTCCAACAGAGGTTCTAAAACTGCTTCTACTGCCCCATTTCCTTTAGTCTTACAACTTAAAAAGTATCAAGTTTGGCTTTCTGCTTAAAGGCAGCAAATATTGTACTTCAGGTTGACCCATCATGGAGTCTTAGAGCCTCAAAAATCTTTACAAATCACATCAACCCTTAAGGCTCAGATGAAATGACATCTGAATCTCTTCCATAATAAGAACTCATATCAAGATAGTGAAGCAAAGAGACCTCAAGTTCATTATTTAATGTTCTGGTTCCAAGAGAATTCTGGGATGTGTCTTTGAGTATACTAACATACCAAAATTACCATGCAGATATGACTGGGAGGAAAAAAGTCCAAATTCAGTGAGGACTATTATAGTTGAAGACCTTAGAACTATGCACTTGTAGGTCTGTGTGTTCAGAGGACAAATTTAATATAAACAGACTTAATCTATAACTTAAGCCTCATTAATTCTGGAGTATAAAGGAGGTATTATGTAAGTATAAAGGGCTCCTTAGCCCTGTGGCAACAAGGTGAGCCAAGATGACATTAATGGATAACGGCTCCCTTCCCCATTCCCGCTTCAAAAACGTAAGTGCTGGATGAAATGTACCCCCAGACAAATTGTCATAATGTTGTCAGGGTTAAAAAGAAAAGTAAATCCCAAGGTACCAGAAATAAAGAATCAGTTGCAAGCCAGAGCAGAAAGTGTCTAGCCCAACAAAGCCTTGTGACAATTACCAGAGTAGCATTAGTCCAGATAGAGTAAATGTCTTATCTTCATCTAGAAGATGCCAGGATTTCTTATTCAGCAGAATTGAAACACATGTACATATGCACAAAGGGCCGTCAACTTGGAAATTAAGGAATTCATGATGTGAACGAATGTATAAACACAAACACAAAAGGCTTTTGACACCTTGGAATCCATGTGTCAGAGGCAAAACTTCTAGGGGTCCCTGAAACGAGGACATGGAGCAGAGCCTTTGCCAGATGGACATGATCAAAGACTAGATTTCTGTTGTGACATTTTCCAGTGTATCTTGACAACAACTGGGTCACTATTTTTTCCCAGTATTTCCAGCCATTCCCCTTCAGTCAGATGTGCCCTCAGTCATGTGTCCTTTTTGACTGTGGTTGGTAAAATCTAGGGAAAGAGGTGTGACTGACCTGTTCCGTTTATTGAGCATGCATCCCGAGCACTGCCGCAGCACTTGGACTTCAGTGAGCACAGACCTCTGCCCTCCCTGCATTCTGCCAGTACCAGAGAACAGTTACACAGGGTTAAAGGAAAACACAGAAGGGAAGCAGATCCTGCTGAACAGGCCTGCCTGAGATGGCGTTTGAAGACAAGATTTAGCCCTGATGTTACGGAAGCAGCGCATCTGAGGCAGAGCAGAGCGGTAACGCAGGCCCTGCGGGCAGCGCGCCCGCCGCACTGGGGAGCAGCAGAGGGGGCCGGCGCGGGACTCGGTCGGCGAGAGGGGCGCAGAGCTGGGTGGGCTGGCGGGGAGAGCAGCTGAGGTGCGGCCGCAGACCACGGGAGGTCTTCACCGTCCACGGGCAGGAAGCCACCTGAGCCGTCCTTCAGAAAGACCTTTAAAGGGCCGCTGGCTATGAGGACAGACGGGAACAGGCGAGGAGGCACACATGAGCCAGACAGAGCAACTGGGAGCTCACTGAGATCCTCCCGGCGAGACACAGACGTCTCCTACAAGGGTGGTGGCAGAGACGGCCGAGGATTTAGATGGACATCGAGATTGGACGAAGGAAGTGAGGAACTCAGGACTCTGAAAACCTTCTGAACGGAGGTGCCATCAGCTGAGGCGCTGATCCTCACCAAGGTGAGTGTGAGCAGAGGCAGGGAGCCCCAGGCCAACTCTGGGCTGCCTTGAAGTTCAGAGCAAGCGCGGGCCGGCGGCCAGCAAAGCAGAGCCAGTCAGGCCAGTGTGGTGCTGTCTCGCCACCAACTGAACAGGTGCCTCAGATGTTGGTTAGATTCAGCCGTGTGGGAGATGGTGGTGGCTAAGAGTGGTTGAAGAGTCAAGACAAAGCCCGGCAGGCCTCACCTGTCACATCACCTTGTGTGATATAATGAGAGATCACAGCATCAAACGAAAGTCTTAACATGAAACTAATAAATGCTTTAGACTTCCAGATTACAGATGTTTAAAGGGATAGAGTTTACTGACATTAGTGACAAACATTCAATAAGATGACAAGCTTAGTTGTTCCAGAAAGCCAGAATCTTAATTGAATTCTGCTTTAGGGAGAAAAGAAAATGGGATTCCCTGGTGGCTCAGAGGTAAAGCCTCTGCCTGCAATGTGGGAGACCTGGGTTTGATCCCTGGGTCAGGAAGATCCCCTGGAAAAGGAAATAGCAACCCGCTCCAGTACCCTTGCCTGGAAAGTTTCATGGGCTACAATCTGTGGGGTTGCAAAGAGTTGGACACGACTGAGCGACTTCACTTAGGGAGAAAAAAAGCTGCAAAAGACATTTTGAGGACAAATGGGAAAGCCTGAATATGGACTAGATGTTAGATTAGGAAAGCATTCCCTTAAGTAGGAGGTAAAAGAATCCGCCTGCTAGTGCAGGAGACCTGGGTTCCGTCTGTGGGTCAGAAAAATGACAGCCCAGTCCAACAGTCTTGCTTGGGAAATCTCATGGACAGAAGGAGCCTGGTGGGCTACATGTTCTTAATATACATACAAAGCAGAAACGGCAAAATAATTGTTCCTGTTAAGAGGATTGTTGGACTGTATTTTTAGCTTTTGATTTTTTTCGTAATAAAAACTGACCAAAACAGTGGGAGAAGAATGGAAGTTTAGAAAATTCTCCTGAGTTTTGCTTTGAAGATTATAGAACACAAAAATAGGTAATAACCTAGAAAGGGGTTATAGGATCAAAAGACTTAGTCTTCTGTTAAGTTTTTTATGTTTATGAGAAGTGCATATGGAAGGAAAATGGGTGCAGGAGAGAGGACTGTTGGCCCCATGATGCCCCCCCGCTGGGGAAAGGTAGGAGCAGGTAGCTGCTGGAGCCCCTGTCTGTGAGGAGACAGGGCAGGTGCTTCAGCAGGATGTTCACTTACTAACACCAGCTACTGTCTAATTGTCAAGTAGGGGAGTAACCCAAAAATGCAGATACAATCATTTCCAACCTTGGATCAGAGCTGGGGAACATGTCAGATTTCAAAGTCTTCACCTCCCCTCCGTCTTCTAAAGCAGTCTCTGCGGGTAGAACCTGCAAAGGGCACCAGTTAACCTTGCGGATGCAATAAATGTCTCACTTGGCAACCATTTTCTTTAGGATGTAAGTTCTTGCCATAGGCCAAAGATAGCATTGATATTTTTAAACTTACTACATTTTTCCACATTGCCTGTGCCTGTTTTTCCTACACAGAGAATTATATCCGGTGATTTACCCTAGTTACATCACAGTGACTCAGTACAGCACAATACCAGCACTGCCTTTACTGTGACTGTTGGACCTAAATTCTGTACTTTCTGGAAGCAATTTCAGAGCTGTTTGGGAACTCATAGTGCAGCCTGTATCTGTACTAATCACCACCTACGGGGTCCATCTAAATCTTGTTAACTGTGAATAAATCCAAGAAGTTTCCCACATTTTCCATTTTCTGAAATTACCTCACACACTAAATCAGTTAAAATCATGAAGCAGTCCATAAGACAGAATTTTGGGGTAAGGTGGATAAGCAGAAATTTGGCCGTGGGGAAATTTTGTTCTTGATCAAAGTTGAATCCAGAATTAAAATGTTTGAGGCCCCATTCAGACTGCCAGCACCGGTTTTCCTTATAGCATATCCTCTAAAACAAAGACCAGCTCTTTTATAAGCTAAATCTGCATGAAAAGTCACATGTGGTTGTATAAAAAGAATGTTCATTTTGGAGTGAAGAGCGAAAGCATACTTACATTCTCTCTATCCTCACTCCTCTGTATTTTACTCACCCTTGCATTCTAAAACGCTGTCCCCCTAGACCGGCGGCTCCCAGCCGGGGACGTTTTCGTCCCCTCGCCTGACGTTTGGGTCTGGAGGCACAGTGTTTGGTTGTCAAGATTGGGGGAGGGTGTTACCGGCATCTAGTGGCAGAGGCCAGAGATGCTGCTCAACACCCTACATGCTGTCGTCTCCCCGATTGTCCGTCAGTCCATTCAGACCAGATAGGCTTATCCGCCTCACTTACAGCCACCCCGTGCTACACCAGTGCTTCTAAAGCGCTTCATGGGCATATGTGTTACCTGAGGGTCTTGCCAAGGCCCTATACCACTTTTTGGCCTTGTTTTAGACAAAGAATATAATTTTGGTGAAATACAATTACTAAAGTTAAAAAGGGAAAAAATCCTTTTTGTCTTCCACTAATTAGGTCAATTATAAACATATCTCAGTATATTTATGACTTGATTAGTAGAAATATGTTAATAGAATTTAGAAGAATCCACTGAAGCACTTTTTGGTTAATTCATTATAGGAAAGCTGTGTCTGGAAAGCATGTTTTGAATGGAAATTAGATGTATTGAATGATGCTTTCATATATTTTCCTTCAAAGTCTACAGTTGTTAAAACTAACCTTCTATCATGCAATGAGAAGAGAGAGAATTTGGAATCAGAACTCAGTTTATGAAAACACTGATTTTGAAATCTTATCAGAAAATTGATTCCTGGAAAATGCTTACATTTAAAACACTGGCTTTATTCAAATACTACCCATCTGTACATTAAAAACAAGATTAGAAGTAAATGTTTTATTCTTCCAACTAAATTCCAGTACTACAAGAGCAGTAAAACAATGATACACTGGGTGGGGGGGAATTGCAGCTATAAACATTCGTTAAAAAGACTGATAGAATAAATAAAAACTACCAAAAAAAACAAAAAACAAAAAACCCAACAGGGAAATCATATAAACCCATTTGAAACCCAAAGAAGTCCTGGAACACAGAAATGCCCTCCTCCTTCACTAGTTCATTGGAAGCACTGTAGGCTATTTGCTTAATAATGTCCTGGGATTACATTCTAAATTATTAATAACTGGTTATAGCTTGGTTGTAGTGCACAATTAAAATCACACTAACTTCATCTGAAGTATCTTTCTACAGTTTTATTTACACAACCAGTGAAGGGCATGTTCTTAGAATACCAGCTTTAATCCTTTCCAAACATATTAATAGAAGCCAAATTGTAATGATACAGCAAATGAGGCCACTGGCATTAATACAGGTAGTAAAGGTCCACATCCGGGTGGTATTGACATCAAGGAAATCTCCAAATCCGGTTGCTGCCTAAGAGTGGTTGCCACTGACGAAAGCTTGAAAATAACCTGTATTCACAGAGGGGTATTGGCATTGCTGCATGTCATAATTGGGACCTCTTGCAACAACTCAACAAGGAACAAGGCAGCCCATAAATGCAGAAAACATGATTCATGAAACATCTAAAGGGAGAGAAAAGGAAAATGAGTGCAAAGTTCAGGTCAAAATTTAAACACACGCCAAAGCTTCATCCCTAATATACTGCCCTAGGTATTTAAGTAAGCAAAAGTAATAAGCCTGAATAAAATTTTACTGCCTATTTCCTCCAAACTTTTTCTCCTTGATATTGTTAAGTTCTCTTGTGTATGAAGATAATTATAATGAATTACAACAAACATCTCAATAAGATTGTCTTGTATTTGGTTCAAAGATGAAATACTTACAACTAGCAGGCTGTTCTCCATATCGTCGCATTATCTGATCATGTGTAAACTTCACAAATGCATCATATTGTTCTATAAATAAAGGTAAATGTCAATTGCATGATTTGTAAAAATGCCCTCTTAATATATCAAGGCCAGAGAAACTCAGAAGTCCAATACATAAAGTGAAACAATTCTAAGTTGGCATTTAGACATACAACCTCAGTAATAAAGCTTATCAAATGAAAGAGCATGGAGCTTAGGAAACCCACATCAGCTCAAATCACATAACCTCATGTCTAAGCTGGGTGGGGCTTATTTCTTTAAGATATTTTTCCTCTGAAAATTATTATAAGTGGTCTGTGAATGGTAACATACTACAATGAGAGGAAACAGGACAAAAAAGCATAGTAAAATATGAAATTAATCCAAATATCCACCTGCAACCTAATTTAGATGCCACAGAAAAAGATGTTATATAACTAACAAATGCTCTCACCTATATTAGCACTTTAACTCCCTAATCATGAAGTTTACAATATCAATATCCATTAAATCTGTGGCTTAAAAATCAAGGGGGAAAGTCTGATTATGTTAGCGTACATATATTATTTACTACACTCAAATTATCACATTTTATGGAAAAAAATTTTCTGGACAATTAAAAGAATGCAGCAGATTGATACTCTAATAAAATTATGTATGCGGTGCCAGTTAAATTTCAAGTGTTCAGACTGATGCAAAATTATGAAAGGTACAAAGTCAAAAACCTTTGCAAACAATGTGACCGATAAAGAATTAGTCTCCAAAATTTACAAGCAGCTTATGACAATAGCATCAAAACAGACAACCCACTCAAAATGAGCAGAAGACCTGAATAGACATTTCTCCAAAGAAAACATACAGATGACCACTATGCACATGGAAAGATGTCAACATCACTAGTTTTTACAGAAATGCAAATCAAAACTACATCACCTCACAGTGGTCAGAATGACTATTATCAAAAAATCCACAAACAAATGCTAGAAGGCGTGGAGAGAAGAGAACCCTCCTACACTGTTGGTGGAATGTAAATTGGTACAGCCACTATGGAGAACAGTTTGGAGGTTTCATAAAAGAGTAAAAATAGAGCTACCATATGACCCTGCAATCCCACTCACGGGCATGTATCTGGAGAAAAACGTGATCCGAAAGGATACACGCAGGCCAATGTTCATTGCAGCACCGTTTACAACAAGACTGGAAGCCCCCTGAATGCCCACTGACAGAGGCCTGGGTACAGAAGGTGTGGTGTATGTATACAACACAGAGTATTATGCAACCATTAATAAGAGCGAAGCAGTGTCATCTGCAGCAACCTGGATGGACCTAGACAGTGTCATACTGAGTGAAGTCAGAGAGGGAGAAATTATCTATGACATGTTATATATATCTGGAATCTAACAATACCCGAAACTACCTCAAACACTGTTAATCAGCTAATACCCCAATACAAGATAAAAAGTTCAAAATCTGGATAAGTAAAATTAAAAAAAAGGTAGAAGCAGAACCTAGAAATATAAAAAACAACCAAGAGTTTAAAAAAAAACCCATAAGCAAACTGTAGCCTGCCAGGCTTCTCTGTAAACAGAAAGCATAGGGTATTATCAAAAGAACGACCTAGTTTCCTAATATTGCTGCTCATCTGCACGGCTAACAGACACTATTTCTTAAAGTCACTGAGGCGGGGCCAGGGCCTAGCCAAGTTCATTTCCTTTCTTGAACTGAAACTCTCTGGTTCTTAGAGAATACTCCTACCAGTGTAGAGAAGGGGTAATTTAATCGATGTGTAAAATGTATGTAAGAAAGAATTTCTTTGGATGAGTTTCTGGAAGGACTCTAAAACATCTCGTACCTGCAAGTTTTGTGTTCAATATTTCTTCATATTCTTCTCGAACTTTCTCTTCACGTTCTTTCAATAAACGCTCACAGATCATCCCAACCTGCCGTAGAGTGAATAAGGGCTGTTCTTTTTTTAATGGTGAGGATGTTCCCGATGGAGTCCCTATGTACAACGTGAACAAAAACCTCATCAGATTTAGAGCCATCATAGAAAAGCATCATCTAACTGAGGTGGTTTCATGTGAGTATTTTCAGTGCTCATATAAAAGCATTTCCCATCAGTCTTTAGCACAGTATTTCCCCAGTCTTAAATCAGGTTTAATCCTATTAGCTTACAACTTTGGAAAGACACAGCAAGATGTATGCCATCAAATATAATGGGGGGAAGTGTGAAGGTGAGTTGAGAGAGTAACAAAATACAAACAAAATAAATGTTTTAAATTATTAACTAGGAGAGACTTTGTAAAAATGAATACTGAGAATATATTCCTAATACTCAACATTAAATTTTACAGTTCAGCATCCTTAAAGACTATTAATGTAGCAGCCACTTAGATAGTGATAGATTTTTCAGAATGCATTCCTCTTAAAATATTTACTTAGGGTACTTTTATTTTCCAAAAATATCATTCCTCTTTTCTTGAAGAACATCTGAAATTAATCTTTTTTAGAACTCAGAGTTATGACAGTCACCCATGATAACACTGTTGCAAGTATTCTATAAACACAAATACACAGATGTGCTATCAATTGTTTGTCCTGTTTATCTGCCCCAATTCCTCTTTATACTTGCTCTTTATTTACTTGATGGCTGGGACCAGTTAACTAATAAGTATGTTTGTCCTGTGTCCAGCATCAGCTGTTAACAGAATACCAGAATTCTTGTGTACTGATACACAAGAATAAAGCATACCAGCTTTAGTCCACAGCTACCAAACTAAGGCTATCTTTACTTTCAAAATCTCAGCTTTGCTGAGGCTGCCAGTTAATTGATTTTATAAGAAGTAAACTGACAAAATAGAGGAGCTTGCTTTCCCACTGATACAATCCTGTCTCTAACCTCACCTCCCCTTACCAAATTTCACCAACTTATCTCCTTCACTTGCGAGTCCCTTGGACAGCAAAGGAGATCAAACCAGTCAATCCTAAAGGAAATCAGTCATGAATATTCACTGGAAAAGATTGCTGGTGAAGCTGGAACTCCAACACTTTGGCCACCTGATGCGAAAACTGATTCACTGGAAAAGACCGTGATGCTGGGAAAGACTGAAGGTAGAAGGGGATGACAGAGGATAAGATGGCTGGATGGCATCCCCGACTCGATGGACATGAGTTTGAGCAAGCTCCAGGAGTTGGTGATGGACAGGGAAGCCTGGCGTGCTACAGTCCATGGGATTGCAAAGAGTTGGACTGAGCAACTGAACTGACTGATCCCCTTCACTTCAAATACCCCTCACTTTTACATCTTAAATTTTAAGAAGTGTATTTGCAAACTATCCTCACCAATAAAAAGTAGGTTAAAAAAGATGTAGGATCAAAATAATCAACCTTTAGGCATTATCCTAAAAGACAAGTGTGTGTGAGGGTGTATGTTCAGGGACATTTTTGTAAATATGGTATATAGGAGAAATTTCAAGTCTATCATTATTAAATAATTATGGGAAATCCGTAAAATGCAGTATTTAGTCACGGCAAGGTACATCTATACCTGACAGAGAAGCATATGGCTGTATTTCTTTTTTTTCTCTTTAATAGATGCTATGAATCATGGCATTTATAGAAAAGTCCACTTAGGGGATGTTACCTACAGAGAGCTGACTGAGTCATGGGAATCCAAGTGGCCATTACCTTTTTTGTACCATATTTTTAAGAGATCATGAGTTGCCTATATGAATGTTTTTTCAAAAATCAAGGAGAAACAGAAGCTTTATGACTAAAGGCAATTTGTTTTCCTTTTCCCCATAGTAAGTAGCACTTCCTTTCATTTATCAATTCTCTTATTACCTGGTGAAGCTGGCCCACTGAGGAGAAATGCAGGTGGCTGGGCATCGGAAGCACAACATGGGTCTGTCTGCTGGAAACTAGTTTCTAAATGTCTTCTCTTCTGCATGCGCTTATATTCTTGCTTTATGTTGTACAGAATTTGTTCTAAAAGAAAAAAAGCCAAAATTTGGCAAGATAAACACTTTCAAGTTAAAAAATAGGTTGGGTTCTACTGAAAACATTCTCTTCCAATATCTAGGAAATGTGTACTTTGCGAGGAATCCATTTCAGCATGATGGGGACGCTCATTCAGAAGTGGCACATACACACCACCTGGAACCCAGCTGCTCCAAAGTACCATTCTTTCTGAGCACCCAGTTTAAAAGGAAGAAGAATGAGCTTTCCATTCAATGGTAACGATAAGGGAGTCTGAACTGAAACATGTATTCCACTCAGATTCTAAGAGTACCAGACTCAAAGGTCATTTATTCACCACATAGAGAACTATTTAACAGGCTTTTCCAAGACCATAAATAATCAGAAGCAGGAAGAACTATGTAAAATACAGGTACACAAGAGTGAGAGGTGACAGCAGTAGGTCAGCAAGATGACAGAGTTGATGTGATACATTAAGCAGCCATGGCCATAATTATTAAGCTCAACAGAACTGATGAATATCACAACCTTAGCAAAGTTCTGTCCTGTATCTCTGGGGTAAAAACCCATGTAAAGTGATTGGTACATCACAGATACGCATTAAAAACCACTACACTGCAGTGCCATCCTCTTGAACCACAACCATCAAATGAGGAATGAAAAATAAGACGCATATCCTTTAGGCCAGTGTGATAAGTTTTAGAAGACTTCTAATTCAAAATAGTGACAGTTAGCCAGCCTCTTCAGAAAATCCCTCCCTGAGAGTCCCACTCCCCTCCAAACAGATTTTCTTACCACCACCACCAGTTCTTAAATTCATAGGATATCCATGGGAAACTACATCCCAGGAAGCTTGTTAATCCCAATCCAAAGCAAAAGTAACAGGCAATAAAATGTTTTGTAAATATAATGGAGTGTATTTCCACACCATTGTAAAATTTAAAAATGAACTGAAATGCAACTGAAGGCTAAAGATTTATATAAAATGAAGACAATCCTTTTTGAAAAATTTAATACTAAAAGTTTTTGTTAGGTATACACTTAAATTTCACATCTCTTTTCTCAGTTTATTTCCCCAGTAAGAACTTTAAAGCTTTTGCAAGATAGACTGTGAGGGGTCCTATCAATCAGTCCCTTAAGCATTTAGATTCTGCCAGTTTCATTACTATAACTAGAAAGCAATTAAAAAATAAAGTCTTGCAAATAAAATAAAAAATAATCTTGCAAAAGACATCTAGTGAAGATTACATTTATGTAAAATTTTGTGCATAAACAAATCTGTTTTAAACATACATGAATACAAAAATCACACACTGGAATGACTAACCTCAGGATGGTTGTTTGAATGTATTGAACATTTCTCAAAATGTTTTAACATTTGTTTATATTAAACACAGTCATTTTCAGTCCTTTTCCCTTTATGTGAAATTGTAACATTTATTTTTGTTTTTTTAATTATTTTTTCCATTTATTTTTATTAGTTGGAGGCTAATTACTTTACAATATTGTAGTGGTTTTTGCCATACATTGACATGAATCAGCCATGGATCCACATGTGTTCCCCATCCCGGTCCCCCCTCCCACCTCCCTCTCCACCCTATCCCTCTGAGTCTTCCCAATGCACCAGCCCGGAGCACTTGTCTCATGCATCCCACCTGGGCTGGTGGTCTGTTTCACCCTTGATAATATACATGTTTCGATGCTGTTCTCTCAGATCATCCCACCCTCGCCTTCTCCCACAGAGTCCAAAAATCTGTTCTGTACATCTGTGTCTCTTTTTCTGTTTTGTGAAATTGTAATTTAAAACAAAGTTACCAATGTGAAATAAAACAGCTGTCTACTGAACAGCTAAGCACCATGAGAGAAGCAGGCTTCCTAAGTCACAGAGTGTCCAAGAAAACCAGCGCAACATCCTGTACCAACCAGGCCAGGCACACTCATCCTTTCTAAAAAAAATAAAATAACTTTTTCAGTAGCAAAATTCTTTTAAGAGGTTTCTAAACTAATGATGTTTTGATCTCATAGCAAGCTTCACTCATTTATCATTTTATTTTCAGTTACCATCATGCTGATCAAAAGTGCCATTCAAAACATTCAAAGTTTACTCACAAAGACTTAAATATAATAGCACAATATAATTTGGCCTTAACTTCTTTTGTGTGACTTATTCTTTGATCAGTGTGGTGACACAACTGTTCTCAAGATTACTTATTCTTCCTTTTGCTTCACAAAAAAACCACCCAAAGCACAACCAAAATGTACCGAAAGAAGAGCTGTAACAATTGGTCCATTTGGAAGTCTTGAACAAGTTCTAGCCCAAGAAGAAAGATATGATATGGTAAAACTTTAAAAAATTTAGCTTTCTGCACCTCCATTCACCTAATATTTGAGAGCATTAAGGAACGTAAGGTGTGATTTACAGATGAATTCACCATTTAGACGCACAATCTGATGAGTTCTGACAAGTGCGTGTAGTTCTGGAACCACCGCAACCACAGTAAAAGAACTTTATCAGCCCAACTGCTCTCTCATTCACCACCTTTACCACCGCCACTTTCTCTGCTGTCAGTTTTGTTTTCTGAAACTGCCATCTTTATGATGTAGATTCTTGTCTTCTTTATGAGTAGATTTTTGTCTTCTTTCACCCAGCAAAATGGTTTTGAGATTCATGCATGATGTTAAATCAACCAGCAACCCCTTTTTGTTAATTAGTATTCCACTGTGTATAAATGGTATACATCAACCTTATCCATTCTTCTGGTGGACATCTGGACTGTTTCCAACTGGGGGCTATTATGAATACTCAAGTACAAGCCCACAGGTGGACAAATTTTTATTTCTCTTAAGTAAATACCTAGGAGTGGAACTGGATGGACTGATTATATGGCTAAGAAACTGCCAAACCATTTTCCAGAGTGGCTGAATGTTTTGCATTCCAACCAGTAATGTGAGTTCCAGGTGCTCCACATCTTTGTCAACACTTGTCAGAGCTGAAGAATTCTGAATGCTGCAGCACTGCTTTTTATACTTCTTACGGTAGAACTATGTCATCTAAGCCTCACGGTGCTCTTAAGATGTTCTAATACTGGTAACATGTGATCAACAATGTTAGTGAATGGTCCAATTTCAGTTCAGTCACTCAGTCGTGTCTGACTCTTTGCGACCCCATGGACTGCAGCACCCAGGCTTCCCTGTCCATCACCAATTCCCAGAGCTTATTCAAACTCATGTCCATTGAGTTGGTGATGCCATCCAACCATCTCATCCTTTGTCGTCCCCATCTCCTCCCGCCTTCAATCACTCCCAGCATCAGGGTCTTTTCAAATGAGTCAGTACTTTGCACCAGGTGGCCAAACTATTGGAGCTTCAGCATCAGTCCTTCCAATGAAAATTCAGGACTAGCTTCCTTTAGGATGGACTGGTTGGATTTCCTTCCTGTCCAAGGGACTCTCAAGAGTCTTCTCCAACACCTCAGTTCAAAAGCATCAATTCTTTGGCACTCAGCTCTCTTTATAGTCCAACTCTCACATCCATACATGACTACTGGAAAAAAACCAAAGCTTTGACTAGACGGACCTTTGTTGGCAAAGTAATGTCTCTACTTTTTAATATGCTGTCTACGTTGGTCTTTTTTCCCCAAGGAGCAAGCGTCTTTTTAATTTCATGGCTGCAGTCACCATCTGCAGTGATTTTGGAGCCCAATATAAAGTCTGTCACTGTTTCCCCATCTATTTTCCATGAAGTGATGGGACCAGATGCCATGATCTTACTTTTCTGAATGTTGACCTTTAAGCCAACTTTTTCACTCTCCTCTTTCACTTTCATCAAGAGGCTTTTTAGTTCCTCTTCACTCTCTGTCGTAAGGGTGGTGTCATCTGCATATGAGGTTATTGATATTTCTCCCGGCAATCTTGATTCCAGCTTGTGCTTCATCCAGCCCAGTGTTTCTCATGATGTACTCTGCATATAAGTTAAATAAGCAGGGTGACAACATACAGCCTTGACGTACTCCTTTCCCAATTTGTAACCAGTCTGTTGTTCCATGTCCGGTTCTAACTGTTGCTTCCTGACCGTATTTCTCAGGAGGCAGGTCAGGCGGTCTGGTATTCCCATCTCCTTCAGAATTTTCCACAGTTTGTTGTGATCCACACAATCAAAGGCTTTAGCATAATCAATAAAGCAGAAGTAGACGTTTTTCCTAAATAACCCTGAATATTCATTGGAAGGACTGACGCTGAAGCTGAAGTTCCAATATTTTGGCCACCTGATGCGAAGAGCTGACTCATTGGAAAAGACCCTGATGCTAGGAAAGATTGAGGTCTGAAGAAGAGGGTGACAGAGGCCGAGATCGTTAGATGGCATCACCTTAAAGCATATGAGTTTGAGCAAACTCTGGGAGATGGTGAAGGACAGGGAAACCTGGTGTGCTGCACTCCATGGAGTTACAAAGAGTCTGACAGGACTGAGTGACTGAACAACAACAAAGTAACAAACAACCAACTATTAATACAAGCCTCAAGTTCAATTTATATAGGCTCAGAGGTCTAGGCAGTTTTGAAGCCGATAACCAAGAAATCTCCCAAGATTCAGTATTCCAGAATTCACAAGTTGAATTTACGTATCTGGTCAACTTAAGTTGCTTCCACACCAGCAGGATAAAGACCTTACATGCATCAACAAAGTACCTATATTCACTTAAACTAAAATCTAGCCATCTCTTATGGAACTAAAATGACATTCTATTCCAAGTACATGTAACATCTGACACTGTATTGCCAATAAATTTACTAGTCCATTAAAGAAAGTCAAGTGAAGCTTCACTAACATCATCAGTTGCACATTCCAGTTTTAATCATGCAGACTTCATATTTTGTTCATGAAGCATACATTAAATTTGCAGCAAGCCACAGAGCAAAATATGTATTTTCACGACAATCTACACTCAAATGGTTGTGGTATATCCCTTTTCAAAATCCTTAAAACTACATATACCTAACTCTTGAACAACA